GAATACATTCAAGAAATAAATAAATCAGTTCCATAAAATTAAACATATAAATCTTTTTTTGAATTAATTCAAATAAATAAACAGATATGTGATAAATTCGCCATTCGGATAGAAATCAGAGGGGGATGCCAAACACAAACTATAATCCACTAATAAACACTTTCAGTACCACGGTTTGATAATTCTGAAAATTGAAAATTTGAAAATTTTTAAATTAAAGGAACAAGTGTTTATGCTTGTCAAGACAGTCGCACCGCTTCCGAGAGCTCTCCTTGGCAGATGACGTGCCTGTACTGCCACGTGTTTTCGATGCGGATTTCGTGGATTTAGTGGTAATTGCTGCATGAGTATAGATGCGTTGCATCTCGCGATACTTGTCGGTGATTGGCACACTGCTACGGATTTTGGAATCTGAAAAAAGGGAATCTTGGCATCTCAGAACCCCAGATTCTCAGGATCTCAGAATCTCAGAATCTCAGAATCCTAGAATCTCAGATGCCTCAGAATCTGAAAATCTCAGAATCTCAGAATCTCAGAACCTCAGAATCTCAGAATCTCAGAATCTCAGAATCTCAGAATCTCAGAATCTCAGAATCTCAGAATCTCAGAATCTCAGAATCTCAGAATCTCAGAATCTCAGAATCTCAGAATCTCAGAATCTCAGAATCTCAGAATCTCAGAATCTCAGAATCTCAGAATCTCAGAATCTCAGAATCTCAGAATCTCAGAATCTCAGAATCTCAGAATCTCAGAATCTCAGAATCCTAGAATCTCAGAATCCTAGAATCTCAGATGCCTCAGAATCTTAAAATCCAAGAATCTCAGAATCTCAGAATCTCAGAATCTCAGAATCTTAGAACCTTAGAATCTTAGAATCTTAGATTCTTAGAATCTGAGAATCTGAGAATCTGAGAATCTCAGAATCTTGGAATATCAGAATCTTAGAATTTCAGAATATCAGAATATCAGAATCTCAGAATCTCAGAATTTCCAAGATCTATGAATTTCCATTCTTACCAAACTTATTCAACTTCATGGATGCGCTTGGCTTCATATCAACTTCGGTCTCTGCCAATCTTTCTCGTTCCTCCAAATAAATAATTTTCAATTGCTCAGATAATGCATCTGCAACAAAAATCTGGTTTTTTTTTGAATATCGAAACAAAATGAGCTCTTACCATACAAAAACCGTTCCCACGCATAAAAAGTTGTGAACAGTTTGAAATTGCGAATGTCCAAATTGTGCATTTTGCAGAAATTGGAAATCAGTGATTTGACCAGAACTTTTTCTTGGACCTAAATTTGGGGATTTTTTAGGGATACACTGTAAGCTCATGCACACACCGCAAAATAAAAGGTTCCGCACTTTGAGCCAATTTATGTGGGTTACTGTAGAAGATACAAAAAATTGTTTAACTGACAAAACAATTGTGATATTATCATAAACATTTTATCAGTTGACCACTTTTTGATATCTTCAACGGGAATCCTAGATAAATTGGCTGAAAGTTGACTTTCTAGAAACCCCAAACTGCCTCCACGGCGTGGCGTATAACAGACGCCGGGCCGGTGGAGGCGGTTCGGCTAGACGGTCCACTTCGAGCCGATATTCCTCATTTCCTGTAAAAGATATCAAAAAGTGATCAACTGATAAAATATTTGTCATAATATCAACAACCTTTTGCTAATTAGCCAATAACTAATATCTTTTTTAGGAACACAGATAAAATGGGTCAAAGTATAGGGACCCTTCCGGGGGGTTAATATAAAAAATTGAGGAAAACACAACCGCGCTCTACTGAACAGGGATCACCATACTACCAATAGAAATAAGAAAAAAAGCTCTATAAAAGCACTGTTGAGGGTCACCTGTCCAGTCGGCGGATGGTAGTAGTTTCGTAAGAGCTTCTTAGCGTTCTTTTGTGCTTTCAATACCTTTCCGTATTGAATTTGCATTCGTTTAAGATGAGTCAACTCTTGGAATATAGCTCTTTCGTGGATGTAACGACGGTTTGAGACTGGCGAAGCTGAAAATGAAGTTTTTTTTTGAATCTTCAAAATAGTCCGAATTTTTGACCTACCTGTTTCCTTCTCCTTCTTCTTTCCCTCCTCATCACTTGGATGCTCCTCTCCATCATCATAAATATCGACGTCACCGCCGTCGTTCCCAATCTCTGGTTCCCTTCGAACCCTCATCACTACAGTACCCCTAGATGACTTCTGTAATGTTTTCG